AAGTCGTAGGGTCCCGCAGCGACTCTGCGTCTTAGCTTGGCGGGGACCGTCGAATTTCGAATTGTAAGGGCTTGGAAAATGCATGTTCCCGCCGTTTTCGCGCCTTCTAATGTGGATTTCGGATTCACCGTAATGGGCAACCCCCGGTACGTGGATTCTCTGAAAATCGAGTTTTTGCCCGGACACTGCCTTTAATGCAACCAATCTATAATAACAGCATGCTTGAAGCTACTCAGACAATCGAAGGGATACCTCCGGAGCATGAGAGGGTCCCGGGACGTCACCTGACGTCATAAGAAGGGAATGGGACCCCTTCCAGGACTCGCAAATCTCTGCTCCGGGTGCGCCAGATTTGGAGGAGCCCCGGAGCACCAAAATGAGTGAAATGGTAGGGCCTCGGAGTACGAAGTGGCAGACCCTCGCCATTTGCCCTCCGGAGGTATCCCTTCGACTGTCTGAGTATTGATTTTGAGCAAATCCGGATTAAATGGTCAGTTGTATGACTAATTTCTCACCAGATGACTCTACAATGCGATATTAGCAATGTAACAGGAGAAGTGTCTAGCGGTATAGATAGAAGCGTCACACTATTGCTGTGATTTGTGCGACTCCTGTGAAGCCCGTTATTGTGATTTTTACGAATCCTGGACTTCCTATGCGCCGCAATAACGCCGCGCTTTGTCGTTTGGTGATTCGTAGACGAGATTGATGGTTGTTAGAATCTGCAGTATACGTTTCCTTATACACAGATACCAGAATCAAATCCTCATTAAAAGATGTTTTGGAAGTGCCAACAAACATTTGAACGCATCGAGCATCTATACTACACAAGTTAGTTTGTTCTGCTAATGTCCTGGGTAGCTGCATACGCTCTGTGTGTCGCCTTGTGGATACAAAGCAGTGTATTGTTGGTGTATGCGAATTTTATTCCCAGATGGACATCAAATAGCACATAATAAGAGTTTAACATCCTAAAAGTTTTTGAATTCCGGAAGGAGATATATTTGATAGTTCATGAGTTGCTTGATTTTGCTGTTTTGGAATCAATTCAGAACAGCATGGAAGTCATAAACCCGTGAAAATGCAGTTAAGAACAAATTCATAAATATTTCAATACGCTTTCCAGCAAAACAGCAAACTCAGCAAATGGTAACCTTAGATAGATAGTAAGCCAAGGTATTGATCTGGTACTTCGTGAAAACTTGCATAACACTAAACGGAGTTTTGAGTTGGTGACGGCCGGAGAAGTCACGCCTCTTGAGTCTCCCCGCATCTATAAGGCTCGACAACGGTTTGCACCGTTGTTAGAACATGTCGAATTTGTTCTTTCATTCCCAGTACTTAGATGATGGAAATTGTATAGGTAAAACTTTAGAGTCATTGATCACACATATGCAAAGCATACGTGTGTCTTCTATCAGAGTGGATCATATGAAACCTGATGAGTTCTGCATTATCTACGTGTATACATTTCGTTTTCTCGACTTAAAGGCAGTGTCCAGGCATATCTGGGCATACCGGTTTTTGCCTGGAAACTGTTGAGGAGGTTATAGCTAAGGCGCTGCGCAAACCGCAGCGCAAATAATTCATTCACGGCTGAGAAATCCATTCACACTCCGCGGCTGCGCCGTGACCATAACACTTAGTATGGGTTCCAGCGCGAACGTAATGTTGAAGTGAGCGAAGTCGTTTTAGGGTTACGGTCACGGCGCAGGCGCAGGGTTTTCGGGGACGCATTTCTCAGCCGTGAATGAACAATTTGCGCTGCCCTCTGGGCAGTGCCTTAGTTAGGACCCTCTCATCAATTTCCAGGCCAAAAAGCCATTCGACCAGATTTGGACGCTGCCCCAATCAAGTGGAAATAATTCTGTTCCTTTGAAACAGTGATAAGCGGATGGTGATGTAAATATGTAATACTACTATTCACAGGATAAAAAGGAGAACCATTGTATGCTGCGAAGTTCGCGATTTATCTGATTTCGCTTAATGCGCAACACCAAATCACGAAGCGCGGCGTTATTGTGGTACATAGGAGGTCCAGGCACTTGGCCGCTCCCGATTGGTTTCGACCTTATGACTGGAAGACAAGCACACTGTTAGATAAAACAGCATTTATTCTTACAGCACAACAACAGGACTCTCAAGCTAACAACAGAAAAGAACAACTATAATTAGAGGTCCCCCGATTTGACCCTCTAGCGGGATCTTCGATCAGTCCTTGGGTTCTTCATGATCTAGTCACGTGAGGAGGTCTAGCTCTCTCCTGAGCGTTTTTCGCTCCCATTGGTTTCGACCTTATGACTAGAAGACAAGCACACTGAGAGATAGAATAGCGTTTATTCTTACAGCACAACAACAGGACTTTTAGGCCAAATAATAGAGAAGAACCACTATAATATGGCGTTGAAAGAGTTCCTCCGGTTCAACCCTCTAGCAGGATCCTCAATCAGTACTTGGGCTCTTCTTGGTCTGTGCACGTGAGGTCTGGCTCTTTCCTGAGCAGTTTTTTGCCTACCCACAGCCTCTGCTCACCCCTTCTAATTGATTTAGGGCCATACGATGCCCAAAAATCATTATAAGCACACTGTCAGCAACACACTGGCGAGAAACAGGACAGTTCACGAAAAAAAGGTGTTCGTTTACACTAATATAAGCAGCCCTCCCTCTTCTTTCCTCCAAAACTTAGAACATGACATTTTGAAGATTAAGTATGCGTTAAAAAGTGGCTCTTTTTTTTCAAAACCGGTACATTCAATTATCTCGATTAATCTTTTATCATCCTCATGACTACGCGGTGCAATAGCAATCCGACGGGCTCAACCTGTGTAAGAAGAGCATGATTGGTTTGCAAATTACCGTCATGTTGGGAACAAGTTTTGAACTCAGAAGCTATCAAAATTGGAGCTTGCTATCCATTCTAGAGGCAAGCTAATGGTGTCACTCATGAGATTACAAAAGATTTCGTCTCCTGGTCCGCAAAAACTTTGCTTCTATAGAAGGTTTGAGAATTCGGGCGGTGTGATGAACTTCCCGCTACTATAGTCGTTCTGATATACACCTCGCCTAAGCCGACCCTATGGTAATTCATGGATGAAAAAAATGAGTTGGAACTATTTTATTTATCGAAAATGACTTGTACCATTTCAGCTAGAGAAAATAGACACTCTAAACTGAGTAAAGAAAGAAATTACTCTTTTTCAAGATGAACTGGTTAAAATTGGCTCTTTCCTTATTGAAAAGAAGATTGTGCCAGAGAATGAGAAGTGCCATCCTACCGTTGGCCTCTTTAAGCACTCTGGCGGAGGCTCAGAATAGTGTGCACATGGCTCAATTCCATCGAGGACGTTTCTCCTCGGCTACAGGAGCGTCCGACGTCTTCTCACGTAACCTTCGATTCAACTGGCTTGGCTCCGTTAGGGCGGAGTTTTGTGATCTAATTGAGGCCGCTCGCGCCCGCGACGCACCTGCGTCTCTCTCGCGCGAGTGCTCTCTGATCATTACCTACCTAATTAGGTCACGAAGCCCCGCCTTTGCCGAAGCCAAGCCAGTTGAATCAAAGTAGCTTGTCTTGACCACGCTTGACGGAAGTGACAAAACGGAAAGTGACCGAGCTGGTTCCTCTTATATAGAAGGCCGAAAAGATGTGCGGGTGCGTCGAACGCTGGTTCCAAGATGAAGCAACTAACAATAAGATGTGAGTGGAAACACCAACTTAACCCATTCAACACATACAAATCGTGAAGAAGTGACATCAAAAGACAAATCAGAAATATAAAAAGGCGTTGCGGTCTAAAAAGATTTTTAAGACCTGGTTCATACCCCCTTTCCCGATCTTACCTCGATTAGGACTTTTCCCATCTTCATCCTTACGATCCTTTGGCAGCGCAGCCCCTGACTCCACATATAGTTGATGTGGTAATGCAGGCACGCACAAAGTGACCCTTGCAGCGGCGCGGTTCTATATGTCCTATTTTGAGATAGTTTGGAAAGAATAGCACATCTTCTGTTTGCGCTCAACCAATATCTGCTATTCAGCGGTCCGGAAAATGCGTGACAAATTGATGAAAGCACAATAGTTTCAAACTCGTTTTTCATAAAAGCATACCCCACATTTTCTCGTAATGTGAACTGCTCAACCTCTCAAGTATTTCTCTTGAAAAGATTTGATTGTAGGCTTCAAATAGCAGAGCACACAAAGCACAAGTTCAATATATCAAACGAAGTAAATTCAAAAAAAAAGACGAAGTCACCCAGAAAAGACGTTTTCATCCTTTTCATCTCATGTCAGTAAACAATGTGCTTATCACTAAACCGAATGTTCACCATCATCTTATCACTTATATGAGAAATCGCTACAAAAATCGTTTGAACCATTGATTTCCAAAGAAGGCTTAAATTTCGATAACATGTGCTCGTGCAACGTACTAATGCCATCGCGGTGAGTCATTCGCTGCCGCGCCCTCCTTCTCCTACATTCGATCACAGTGATTCCTTCCTTACTGGTATTGCCACCGAGCCGAACCATTGCTGACAAAGACTGACCTTGAAATTTCGAATCTAGTAATATTTAGCATTATACCTGGACGCTTTTAACACTCCTATCTATGTTAAGGAACTCTATTAAGTAGCACAGATCACTCTTCATACAAGCGGCTGTCAAATCCTTCATCTATCCGTCACATTCTTAATTACAAAGCTTACGTTTATCTTCTAATTCTAACTCGAAAATATCGCTTGCGAATGAATTAGTCATCCTCGTCTCCACGGTCTTTTTTTTTGTTCTCTCCGATACGGCAGTCTACCACCAATTGCCTACAATCACCTTTCTCAATCTCACCAAATCTCCTTCTTGAGTGAGGATACGAGCAGAATCACACACCTAGCCGCACTGTCAGCTATCTCATTTCACTTTTCTAATTCTAATTTTCGCTCTGTGGAATTCAAATCTTTGAATTTGTCCTAACTACAGTTGCTTTTCAGGTCAGAGGCGTAGGAAAACCTTATCCCATGCCAAACTGCCCGGCTTGTAATAAGCCAGTTTACTTTGGTAAGCGTGTACCATTGGAAATTTTTGAATTGTTTTCTACACGAATGAGTGCAATTCTGTTCACCTGAGTTATTATGCAGTCTGTCCTCGTCGTTCATTAGCCCATGATCTGGAGAGTGAGAGCAAATTTGCAGTGTTGATTAACCATGATGAACTTTGTAATGATCCGATCTAGGCGGATTTTCAGCGCTCAAAAGATTAATCGCGTGACCAAAGGCATAGAAAGCGCAAGGTGCAGGAATCGCTAATCACATCAGTATCATTGAATTATAGCGGTTGGCAGCGTTGTATGCTGTCAACCGCTATAATTCAATATGACCACAGCTTGAAAAATCCCAGTTGATCCAAAATTTTTCACACAAATGGCTTACGTGTTGTGAAAATTTGGATAGGCATTCCGTTTTCAATTTGCGTTTATTACCGCGCTAGGCGAAAAAGCGGGTAAAGGGTGTTTGCCCACCTTTTATCTACATCACACGCGCAGGTGATATGTGTTGACCTATGATATTATCACTAAAATACTTTTGGAAAATATTCAGAGAATCGATAAAGGAGAAGGGTTAGGGGAAGGTAGGAGGATTCAGGCTGAAAAAGGAGGAACTTTGCTCGCATCTATGTGGAGGAATAATGTTGCTCTGACTCAGTGCATCGCAATATTATCATCATATTCGCACCATATTTCAGCCGAACGAGTCACATCGCTTGGCAAAGACTGGCACAAACCATGCCTTCGATGTGCTAATGAGAACTGTAAGAAAGTGTTGAGTCCTGGCAGCCATGCTGAGGTTAGATTTCCGATTAGGTTGCGAAATCTGACTACAAATACTCTTTATTTTAGCATGAAGGCAAACCATACTGCAAGCAGTGCTATGGTGCCCTATTTGGACCAAAAGGTTTCGGACACGGTGGCACCGAGAGTCACACATTCCATGGCGGAGCCACCGGATAATCACCAAATTACTCTTTTTTGCATGTTTTCAATTTCGCAGTGATATGGTTACGTAACTGGTTTCTAAAGTTCATTTCTCGAATTTGATTGCAAGACTACTGTCAGATATCACAAACTCATTTTACAAATATTGGTCATTATAAATCATTTCTGCTATCGGTGCGCAGGCACTGTTTTCTCACTGTTTGCCATGCCAACGTGGGAGTTTGGGTACACAAACCGTTTCCAAATGAACGAGTCCACACCTTTGTAAGTCGGTGTTGCCCAATAGTCTGCTCTTTACAGGTCCAGGAGCTGAAAAAATTTGCAATTATACAGTGGGGGAAAAATGTGTAGAGAAACGAATGTCTGTAGTAAACACTTTTTCCTGACACCTTATATAGCATACAATCCTATGTTAGAAAGGACCAGTAGTTGTGAAAGAGGTGCCCGTTGACATTATTTGTTCCTATATCGCGAGAATGGCCGTTAGTTCGGTGCAAATAGTAGAATGTCGAAGTTCATTACGAATACTAGGGTGAGTCAAAAGTAATGAGAACTTCGTATCTCCTCTTAAACCTATTCTCAAATTAGGTAGAATGTGAACAGACAAATGCTCTAAACGGTATCCGATACGGCTTTTCTTCGTCTTTCCAGCAGTCATAATTTCCAACCAAATCACTTCGTAGTTGATGAAATATTTGCAGAAATTTTGAACCCAAAGCGTTTGCCGTCCAAATTCTGTGGTTTTTTCAGCGTGGCAAAAAATTCTAGATTATGATAATTTGAGACGGTAACCGCTCCAGTACTTTGCAAAATCAAGGTTTGATTATGAACTATTTTTGAAGCCCTCAATTTCGAAAGATTTTGTAAAGTTTGATGCATTTTTGTTTTGAGCGATTTTTTGAATTTTTTGGGCTTTTGAAAAAATGATTTTGAAAAGCTTCAAAATGCTGCTTTCGAAAGACCTAAGGGATGTTTTGCATTAAGCAGGATCTGCTCTCTCTTTATATAATCGAATTTGTTTGAAACCCTCAAACCAAAAGTTCTGAGGATTAGCTAAACTCACTCAAAGCAAAAATGACAAGTTCAAATGGGGAAATTTTTCCGACAACTAATAAGTCAACTGGGCCGTTGACCCAGCTGCTGAAAAGAGAAAGAAAAGTTACGTTCAATACATTTTACGGTACCCTTCTATCACTATTCTACACAATTTGCTAAAAGTTCGAAAGGGTGCGCGAAAAGTTCTCATTACTTTTGACTCAACCTAATATTCCAGCCAAAAGAGTGATTCGGTTTTATAAATCCGAAAGGACTCCATTTTTGAAGTCATCCGCACGAAATTTTGCACACATACACTTTGGGAGATGCGGGTGTCGAGGGTCATGTCACAGTATTAATAGGGCTGCGTGAAACCGGATGTGCCAGCTAATAGTTTGTAAATACTCTATCAAATTTTGAATTCTGTTTATGTGATCTCTTGACATATGAAAGCGAAAGTTGCCACGATGCCATCTGACACGATCTTATAGAAAGAAATGGAGCGCAGTCCAAAGAGACCTCAATAAGTGTGCTTGTCCAGCGTATGAACGCTTTAAGATGACTCATTATTGCACTGTTCACAGTCCGACTCTAACACGAAGTCTTCCTTCAATTTTGTTCATCGCCATCGCGGCTGGCATCGTTGACATTCCATACGCGAGTGCGTCGAAATTACCAGCGTTGCCCAGCTTATGTCACAGAGCTTTAAACTACTTTACTCCCTCGAAATACTTATTATTAAATGGCTCCAAAGAAGCTTTCATTCCTCCCCTCCCTCGTCTTACTTGGATCCCCACGATCTTCTTGCCGCTATAGTGGATGCTTCCACAAATACCAGACGTGGAGCTCGTACTCAGCTGGTCTTTCAGCTGGTACAAGCGTTTCAGGAATATGTCTGCCTATGTCGTTGGTGTCTTTCTCGGATGTTTTTCTTTTTAGGAATCCAATGCTTTCAATGCCCATCTGTCGTTTGTCTTCCTCATGATGCACCGGCCCATCAATGTCTTGATCCAACAACGCATTCCGCTAGGTAACGATCTCGGTATATACATCCTTTTCATATCCATACTGCGAAATCCGACGAGATGCTGCTTGAGTCGGTTGACCTATAGAAGACCGCACTCAAGCGCTCCATGGGTTATGCGTAAATTTTCGATAGTGTAGGCTCAAGTCTCAGCTTATGACAGAGTGCTGGATATCGAACAAATGGGGTCCAAAATCTAGGTCAGCCATTCCGCCAGTTTGTTAGCGACTCATTCGGTGTCCTGAAGGTTGTCCAAATTGCTCTTTTTCCCCTTTTAAATCTCTTAGCTCTTCAGGTTCATCGACCGTTCAAGGTACACGCAAGAAATTATGAGGCCTTCCGATTCCGTCGCATTTTGAAGAAGGGCGTTCTTCTTTCAGTTGCAGTCCGACCTCCTTTCGTATTGAGTTTTTTTTGGCGCGACGGTTTGAGAGGAACCTTCTATCAACTTGCATGTCTCTCTCAATTTAGTTTAGTGACCTTACCCATTGAGGTCGCTGTGAAAAGTTTTGTGAAGCCTTGTTGGACTCCCTTCCCAAATGGCTGGTTAGCTGGTGATTGAATAGCTGCATCATCGTTGTACAGTCTTGTAGCGGTCAACTAATGTGGTCACGTAAGCTGGTGAAGTCCTTGGTCGACTAGCGCTAATAGGATCGAATTGGTACGACGCTGCTCATGGCTTTTCGTAGCGACGAAGGTTGGAACGAGTGGTAAGCGGTACCCCCAACAAACTTCTATAACCCACAAAACCTTTGGATGTGGTCCCTGCAATTAACATCAATGAAATGCAGCTTTTTCTTGACGCTGGGCTTTATTCAGTGTTACTTTGCGAGAAAAGATAATTTCTCGTGAAAAGCTGCAATGAACTCAACAGGCATACTGAATTAGTTCCGAAGATCCCCTCGCTCGCTGATCCTGAAGAAACGATGTTTCTTGCGCCCTATTAGTCCTCCTTCCTTCCCTTTGCGGCGTAGGAATTTCATGTAGACGACGTCCTCCGTATTGCAGGCGTTTGACAAAGAAATGATTTGATCCTGGTGCTCATGTTCTATGTCGCAATGCCTTTTCCACAGGTAACCTTTGATTCAACTGGCTTGCGGCTGGAAGGAGGGGCTTTGTGACCTATTTAAGGCCGTTGCGCTCGCTATGCAGTCTGCGCCTCTCTCGCGAAAGTGCTATCTGATCACTATCTGGCCTTAGGGTTCTTCATACTAGGCCGCTTCATGCAGCGTGCCGTTGAGGTGGCAGTGAAAATATACGTTCACGGCAGCACAGCTTCGGCGGTTATGGATGTACACCTATATTTGCTGCACGTTCGTGTTCTTCGAGAGGTTCCTTCGCAGCGAGCGAGCTGAAATTTTCACTGCGACTGCTGCGGCGCACGTCGCGTCCTGCGGCGTAGTATGAAGGAAGCCTTGATTAGGTCCCGAAGCCCCGTCTTCCAACCGCTAAGGCAGTTGAACTAAAGGGTAGAATCGCGGTACTTTTCTAGTGGAAACGACGGGAGTAACATGATGGCTTTATGAGCGCAAGAATTTAGTTACAGTCGAGTAGATTTCCTGCTTAATATAGTGTCCCTGCAGACGCGACAACGCTGAGGCGTCAATAATTGCCTTGCGAGTTTCCGAGTGAATATTTTCTAGTGTTTTCTTATCTTATTCTTATTCTTTTTAGGTAAATCGTCACTGGTAAAGGAGAAGAGGGTAAGTTAGAGGATAAAGTCTGTTTTCTCAGCAGCTATTTCATCCTTAATCTCAGACATCAATGTAGAAGCTGATCGCATCAGTTTCATGCGTATTCTTGTCACTTCATGTCTCTTTCTTCTTGTGAAGTCAACTAGCGTTTGAAGAAACGTCTCACAAGAAGAAAGAGGGTTAAATTGGCAAAAGAAAAGGAAATGTTACAAAAAATAGGCGTAAAACTGACGCGAACTGCTTCTGCGTAGATATCTGTGAATATGAGATGATGAAACTTCTCAGAAAACAGAAACTACTATCTAACCTACCCTCTTCCTCTTTATCAGCCACGAAATACCTGAAAAGCAAAGGATAAGCAAAGAAAACAGTGGAAAACATTCGTTCGGAAACTCGCAAGGCAATTATTGACGCCCCAGCGTTGTCGCGTCTGCAGGAACACTATATTAAGCAGGAAATCTACTCGACTGTAGAAGCTTATTAATTCCATCTTTTGTCGGAAAGAGGTCAGAGAAGCTTATGAATTCCATCTTTAAAAGAGGTCAGGATTCTCTTTCGTCGATAGTGCTGCCAGCGGTGGTTTTTGCAGTGGTTCTTCGGCATTTCCTGAGACTTCGTCTTCTCTCGGCTTCTTTATCTTCGCTTATATTATATACGTGCATATTAGGCTTTAAAATGTTCGGTTTTTTCGCATAATTGAATATCGAATGTTTTCGAAAACAAAAAAAGTCGAATAATCAAATACCGAGTATTTTCGAAATCAAAAATTCCAAATAATTGAGTGTCATATTTTCGAAAAGAAAAGAGTTCGAATCATCGAATATATCCAAAAAAATCGAAAAACGGATACATCGCATCGACTATATCGAATATTCTAACAGGTTTTGATTCAGTTAGCACAGTGAAGGACTAGATGTAGTGGGAAACTTGAACAACAAACGATAATTGCTGATACAGCAATCAAAAATGTGGCACTGTCATGTAAAAATTCGACTGCACGAAAATGTCGAATAATCCAGTAATATTGAAAGTAGAGGTTTGAATGTTTAAACATTCTCGAAAATCAAAATTCTCAAATAACGAATAATCGATAAACTCGAAATTGACGAATCGAATAGGCTAATAAATATATTCGAAGTTTTGAAATTTCCGAAAAATCGGATCTCGTTAAATTTTTTTCGATTACTCTATTTGGTTACTCGAAAATTTATTCGATTCGGTCCAAAGTATAGTGCATATATACCCTCGCTCTACTTTTTCCTTCGCTAAAAATTGTGAAAACGAAATTTTTTATGTTTTTACCAAAGCGATGCTGGGCTTCTCTTTGCTTTCTATCCAGAAATAATACCAAGCGTGCCCATGGGCCATCTATGGTC